TATTTAAAAGTCTATATATACTTGATTGAAATAAATATATGACAAACTTGATTAAAAGGAATATATTGGGAGAGCGGGTTGCACGTTGCAGCATAATTGAATGTGAATATATTGTGAGAGCGGGTTGCACGCTGCAACAGAATTGATGGAAATGATAATTGGTTATGACTGTTGAATTGACTTCAATTATTATAAATGAGTTACCTGATTTATTTCTATTATTTGTTGTTGTTACTAATATTGCGTACAGGTTAATGTAAGTAAACCGCCTTAGCCTCGTCACTACTTCGTCGAGGTTAGGCTCAGCACTTATCAGTACATGGGGTCGGTTGTACTAATACTACACTCTGTACTTCTTGTGCAGATTTCGGAGTTGGTCCCAGCGATGTACCATAGACTTGCTCGGATTTCAGCTACTCAGAGGAGAGTTGAGGTATAACTGCACGGCGTTTGCAGTTCTGAAGTCCCCGTTTACTTTACTTTAGTTGTGTATTTGTTTCTAGACAACTTTATTTTATTCGGACCTTAATTTGTATTATTCTAGAAGCTCGTGCACTTGTGATACAAATTCTAGAATGGTATTTAGACACCGTTGTTTTTAAGGATTATTCACTACATGTCGGACTTTACTTCCGCATTTGTTCTTTGTTATTAATAAATTCAAAAAAATATTTTAAAAATGGATAATATTATTCTAACGTTGACTTGCCTAGCAAGTGAAATATTATGCGCCATCATGGTCCGAAGATAAGAATTTCGGGTCGTGACCGATTTCCATTTTGAGCTCACCAACTCCTATCTTTTTTGGAGATTTCAAATGAAATGAAAGTACGTTACGATTTTTAACTTTGTATGGAATAGATGAACTTAAACCGAATTACACAGACCAAAATGATCTGTGAAACTTAAATTATTGAACAAAGTTATTTAGTTTATAACTGGAAGAGTAATGTGAAATGGTGAAACTCATTATCATTTCCATTTTTCAAATGCCAAGATTAAAGACTTTTCGTGGCAGCAACACAACATGTGGTCCTCCGCTATTTAAGAAGTACTCCCATTGTCTCCAAAAAATAAAAAATAAAAAATTATTGTTTAAAATAAATTTTAAATATTTGTGTGGTCATAAATTATCTCATTAAGGGGAAAATAAAAATGTTGAAGTGAACTTGTTTCTAAATATAAAAAGGTGACATTTTTTAGGACAAACTAAAAAGAAAAGAGTGCATATAAATTTGGGACAGAGGAAGTATGATATTCGGCTTAATATATGCTTATTTTGATGTATATTGCCTCGCATTATACTCATGTCTCGTAGATTTCGAATGTACAATATAATGATTTGTGCTAATTTGTGGTATTTATATGTGTAAGAATCATTCACATGCGATTTGGGACGAAAGTGCGCGAATTGGAGCGAAAATGAGAAGAAAAGGCAAAAGTGCACATTTGAGGACCAAAGGCAGTGTGGGGCGCTGCATGCGGCGTACAAAACAAAATGCTGAAAAGTTGAGCGCCAGAACCAGCGCCCCACGCTGCCCTAGACGCTCAAAACGGGAACATGTTCTATTTCGCCCGGGACTCGGTTATTTCCACCCCAAGACGCCCCCAGCTCATATAAAAGCCAGCCTAAACCTATTTTGAGGAGAGGAGGACGTTTTTGGGAGAAAAACACACGCACAGAGCCGCCGTGAAGGCCTGGTTTTATCTTTTCTTCCACCAAACTTAGTAATTTTTATGTTTCTTTGTGTGATTTGTTGTTTTGCTACCATGTCTATGTGGGGCTAAATTTAACGTTCTAAGGTTGTGGTTATTTCATGACTATTGTTATTCGGATATTGATTTTACTTTCTTGATTTATCATATTGGTTTATTTATTCAATCATGCGCTTAATTATTTAATTGATTGATCACCAATTGAATACTATATACGAATCTAGAATTGAACTCAAACGTGAGAATTATAGATTGCACACATGATTAAGTAGAGCAAGTTCTTGAACTTGGGCATCGGGAAACAGATTCGCGGTTAGGATAGACATATACCTAAGTGCCTTGCTTGGTTGATTTACGGGAATTATAAATGCGTTCTTGTTAGTTCTATTTCCATAGACATATAAGCGTTATGTTAGCTTGAATAGGCGAGTAAGAACTCGATAGAGTTTTATGAGCAATATTAACCTTGCTAACCAATAAACTAGATAAATTAGTTATTCAATTCAATTGAAGAATACAATAGGAATGTTAGATAGCCCATAACCCTAGATCGTTTTCATCACATTGATAACATAAGAAACTGTTCTTCATTTGTTCAAAGTTCATTATTTATTTTCTTTTCATTTTAATTAGATTGAGGTCATATGATTTTAGGTTTAATTCTTGTTCAGATAATTAAGATAGTCTAATTTAATTAGTAGTTAATCACAAGTTCTCGTGGGTTCGACATCCGAGTTTTAGTCACTTTATTACTTGACGACCGCATATACTTGCGTGTTACTTTAGCCGCAACAAAGTATAAGTTAGTTTAAAGTTCAAACAAAATAATATAAGGCGGAATACCTAAAAATCATCCTAAACTTGATTACCCCCGAACTTGTCCGTTCGAGATCCATTACCTCCCTGTACGCTGATGTCGAAGAATGTGGGTGCACTATCTTTTAAGCGCATGGGAGTGAACAAATATTGAAAAATCAGCTTCCAAGTAGGTTATTTTTTAACTTTTAATTGTCATATAGTCTTATATAATGATTTATTTGTTACAACTATATATTTTTTCTTGCTTTATCTTAACGTATAATGTGGACTTTACTCTAACTTTTATTCTTTTATATATATAATGTCTATTTGTTCCAACTGGGTTTTTTTTCGGGCCAAATTTGTAAAAGTTTGGTTGGAACTCCATCAATTTAGCCAAATAGAAAACTTTTAGAAAAAGTAATGGAGTACTAGTTGTGTATTTTTTATTATTTTTTTCTTTAGATATAATGTCTAAATTTTAATTGTGTATTTTTATTTTCCAGTCAAATCAGTAAAAAAATGGCTACAGCTCCATTATTTTTTACCAAATAAAAAGGTATAGCCAAAATAATGAACTTGCAATTGTACACTCTTTTTATTTCTTCTTTTGATAGAATGACTATTTATTTGAACTATATATTTTTATTTTTTTTCATAATATCTGTAAAAAAATATTTTTAGAGCTCCATAAATTAGAGCTATATAAAAAATTATAGCCAAAATAATAAAAATCAAACTATGTATTTTTATATCTTCTTAGATGTCTTGACTATTTATTTCAACTGTATAAATCTTTATTTTTAGGTCAAATTCAAAAAACAATAACTAAAACTTTATTTTTTTAGCCAAATAAATAAATTAGCCTAAATAATGTAGTTTAGCCAAGTTTTATTATAAATATTATCCGAGAAAGATTATCTAAAAAAGTAACACACTTAAAGGTATAAAATATATTTTATTTTTCAAAAATGCCACATGGACAGGAAAATCCACCCGGCAGGCGAGTGGATGCCACTTTCATAGGATGAGATCGTCTAAGGGGGTAACAACTATCGAATAACCATAGATAGTTCAAGGATGTATCCAATAATAAGTATCAAGTTTAGATTTATTTTTAGGTATTTTACCATAATATAGTAATAATGAAAGATCATTTAAGCGCATAGCAGTTTGCCTCTACGAAAACCTTCCACCCAAAAAGTTCATGAGATCCACTCTATAAATATCATCAAATTTCAGTTTACGATCACATCAACCTTATTATCATCAAGGGGCGCTAAATATCGAAAATCAAAGAGTTTTTCTATATATTTTATTTTCTTTTTTACTTTCACTAAATATCATAAAGATTGCAACCTATACATAGAATTGGACACATGTATTGTGAACTTGTGAGTTTATCTAAACCTAATAGTTTAAGTTCGAACCATGTTTATGTATTAAAAAGTTCACATAATAAGAACAAACTATGGATTAAGTGTTTGCTTACTGGCTTCATATAATTAAAAAATACTAATTTTCTCGAGCTTCTTGTTCATATCTCTCATCAAAAAGTGCTATTCGATAATGCTGTCTAGCACACTCACTTCTAACCCTAGTGAACATTCAAATATATATCCTACATTCATTCGCGAAGGTACTTCTAATGGATTAAAGTCCATATCAACAGATTATCCATCTCGTAAATAAGGCATATCTTGTCTAAGGCAAAATTTTGAAAATGATACCTTTATTTTCGTCTTTCTAACTACCTTATCGCCTACTTTAATTTCACATTTATGTGAAATATATACACAGTCATCTCAGGATTATAAATAGAACCACTAGTAAATCAAATAGGAAGAACTACAAACTCAAACATACAAAACGTTCAAATTCTAAATCCGTCTCTGTATACATAGCTCGAAGAAATATTAAACTAACTTGATGAAAACTACGAAAACCCTAGTTTTCAAGTAGAGCGGCAAAATACAAAATGAATTTGCCAAAATATTCCCAAATTCCAAAAATGAAAAAACCAAATTAAATGGCGCCGTTTTTAATTATACCCTCAACTCTTTTTCGGCGGGTGTACAATCCAATCAAAAATTTCATTACAAGGACAGTTTCGTCCTTTCACAGTCCCCGCGCGCCTAGGGTTTTCGTATATTACTCCCCTTTATAAACCTCCGTTTTTTTCCCCAAATCGGCTATGTCTCATTATCATAAGTCGGTTCTTCGTTATCTTTCTCTGTGGTTCTGTAGCTTTTTCAGTCGGTTCATCACTATCCTATTTTCCCAAACCTTAGCTAGCCCTTAATTTCTTCATTTTTCCTTTAATAAAACCTCCTCCTTAAGTTTTTTTCTGTTTATTAGCACAAGTTGAAGGATTTTTTTCTGAGATTTTCTGGGGAAAAAAATATTCAAGATTCAGCTTGTTTTGAGTTTTATTCACCATTTCCTCATCTGGGTCTTGCTTAGTTTTTGCTAAAACCTCTTCACTTTTGATCACTGAGCTGAGGTCACTGATTAGCTGTCCAAAAATGGTAGATTTTAGTGATAAAGTTAGTGATCACGATGTACTTTATTTTTTCTACCTTTGATCATAAATTTTGTCTCTTGATATATATGTGAATTTATGATTTTGATTGTTATTGTTGTTTTTAGGTAGCAGAAAATGAAGAAATGAGTGGGCAAAATCAAACCCCAGAAAGAGTTTTATCAGAGAATAGTGAAAGCCAGCTAAAGACTTGTGTTGATTGTGGTACTACTAAAACTCCTCTTTGGAGAGGTGGACCTGCTGGACCTAAGGTCAGTTATTGTCTTCATTTGGTTAATTAATTCACTTGTCGAGATTTTTGTTTCACTTCGTATGGTAGTGTTTGATTCAACATATTTAAAATCTTAATTTAACTTGTGTATTGTATTAGTAGAATTTAGTTTGGCAAAGATGTTTGGATTTTATTCGACTGTGAATTGATTTTTGTAAAAAAAAAATAGTTATAAATAAATTCAGTACCCAAGTTGCAATAGTGGTCAATTGAGGTATGAATTAAATTTTTTTTTTACTAGGTAATAATTTTTGTAATTTTTGTGTACACGCTACTCTCTTTAGGCCCCACATATACTGGGTATGTTGTTGTATAGTGATGGTAGGTAATAGATATATGGTAAATTAGTTAATCTGAGTAAGCTGGCTTGAATATTTGGTTGTTTTTCCCTATTTGTCTAAACATTGGTAGTCAAAGTTATTTGTTAGTACTTGTATTAGTAGGAGATAATAATTATTCGGCAAATTAGTAATTATTCGGCAAATTAGTTAATATCGGCGTAAGTTGGCTTGAACAAAAAAAGAATAAAAATAATTTGAGTTCTTGCAAGTTGTAAATGTGGTGTTATTAGTGACTTAGTGTATTTATGTTAGAAATTTTGTAACATATCTAGGGGGGAGTGTCATAAATTGAAAATGAAGTATTCATTTTGAAGAATTAACCCAAATAATTGCCTGCCCAACCACTTAAACTAATATATATATATATATATATATAAAAAGCAAATATAATCAGTATATAATATGTGTATAATTATGTATAATATGTGTATAATTCATGTGTACTAGCTAAGAAGAGTAAATGTTGAATTTGGCTGGCTATTTGTGTAAAAATCCCCATTTTCAATTAATTTTGTTGAATCTGATGATTAGATCATGTTGAATGCAGTCATTGTGTAATGCATGTGGGATAAGGAGCAGGAAAAAGAGAAGGGCACTTTTGGGATTGAACAAAGAAGACAAGAAACCCAAAAAATCAGTGGGATTTTCAAATAAGAGTGTTAGCCAACATCATAATCAGAATCAGAGTAGTAATAGCAGTACAAGCAGCAGTGAGGAAAGTACAACAAGTAATGCAGTAAAGAACAATAAATGCATTCCATTTAAAAAGAGATTATTGCATTTTGGTAGAGAAGTAGCTTTACAAAGACCAAGATCAAGCTCTACTCAACACAGGAGGAAATTGGGAGAAGAAGAACAAGCAGCATTCTTGTTAATGGCTCTTTCTTGTGGTTCTGTTTATGCTTAGAAAATGAAGAAAATAATTAAGAAAAAAAGAAAAAGTTGTACTAATGGTAAGGATTGTATTACCCTTTGGCCTTTTTTGGGTTTGTTGAGCAAGAAGGTAGGTGCATGAGTAGAATCTTAAATGATAAAAAAAGAGCTTAATCAAGTTGATAGCTCTCAAGAATGTAGGGTTGAGAATTGGCCTGTGTTTAAATTTAATTTAATTTATTTGAACCTAATTAGAGTTATTGGTAATGCCTACTTTGTTAGTATTGGACAAAACTAATTTGAACTTGTTGATCATATTAACCAATAAATCCAGGTTTTTCTGCACTTATTTGCATTTAATCTTACTAAAAAATGCTGTATGTATTTTTATTTTTCATGTAATGGGTTTTTTTTCATTTGGTATAACATTGAAGATGAGTAAGTAGTAATCCTTCAATCTTTTGAACAATATGACTAGAGAAAAAAGCTACTCCTAAGAAGGAACATGTGTGTGTACTACCTTTTTAGTTTGGTAGACTAATAAATGGACTACACCTTTTTAGTTTGGTAGACTAATAAATGGACTTATTGTCCTTTTGTTATCTCAAATCAAGTTAATGTCACATGAAAATCGTTTTGTATTTGTCCTATAAAATATCTTAATTTTACTTTTTGTTGTACTTTAGAATGATTCACACTTTAGCTGTTAGTAAATTGTTTTGTATTTGTTCTTGATCCTAATCAAAACTTTAACCTAAAGTATAGCAGATTATAGTTTTTGATACGTGAAATCCTTCAATTTACCATATTTACACTTTACACTAGAATTTCGGCAGTCAATAATAAATTCCATATAGCTAACAAACAACAACAATAATTATATCGGGAGTCTGTGGATGTAGGAGGATAGTGTGTACGCAGATCTTATCCTTAACTTGTGAGGGTGGAGAAACTGTTTTCGATATATTCTCGACTCAAGCAAAGTATATTTACATCATTGTTGAAAAAGAACTACAATAATGGAGAAATCATGCAAAGAAGCAATAACAACAAGATAGCCAAAGCAAAACACATGTATAGAAATCTAAGGATAAGAAAATATGAGAATAATACTAAATCTACTATTATGAAAAAGAGATACGTTTGACTATTCACTAATTTTCTGTTCTAGTTCTTGATCTACACACTTTTCTATCAAAGGTCATATGCTCGTTAAGCTGAATAATTCGCTAACAAACAAGAGTGTAATTTATTCCACAATAGAATAGAAGGTAAGTTTAAAGTATTTTGTGTAATAGAGGGTTAAATTTGAACTTTTACCCTAATTATAACATAGCAACAGACATTGACACGTGAGTCACATAGTAAAATTTGTCTCATTTTGGATGCATTAGTCACGTGTTTAAAGTCAGCGAGAGTAGCATATTCCCTTTCTAAGTTTCTAGTTTGTCATTTCCCCTTTTGTACTCTACTAACGCACACTGAATTTCCAGCTCATGATTGAGATTTTTTTTTTTGATTTCCTAATTCTTATTTTTATTACGAATAAAACATTACAAGAAGTATAAAAGAAAGAAAAGAAATTAAAATAAGGAAAGAAAAAGAAAATTAGAGTGTAAGATCATCGTTTTCTCTGACCAACACTTTATTCACACTTAATATGAACTTGGAACATCACAAAAAATAGTGGTAGGATATACATGATCCCCATCCTATATCAGACGTCTTAATTTCGTGATAGGGGTATTAAAGTAATAGTAGAAAAGCTTGTTTGATATATCATGGTATATCAAAACATGAGAAATAATCCACCTAATCCCTTGAACCAAATTGTCTCCAGCATTGTGTATTTCACTCATACTTTAATTGATTTTTTTGATTATTTTTTGTTACGATCCGAAATTTCTCACCGACGGGATCGTGATGGCGCCTAACATTTCACTTGCTAGACAAGTCAACGTTAGAGAATCTTTAAGCCAATTCCTTATTCTCATTCAGTAATTAACAATAATTAACTAAGATGAAATATAATAAGTACGGAATAGCATAAAACTGTATTAATTACTACCACCCGGATCTGAAATCATAATTCACGAGCATTCTAGAATTTACTACAAGTAATAGTCTGAAAGAAATACAAGTATTTGAATGAGAGAAACAGTAAAACAGAAAAGATAGACGGGTACTTCAAGGTCTGTGAACGCCGACAGATCTACCTTGAGTCTCCAGACAGCGGGCCAATAGCAAAATCTCGATCAACCCGAGCCGGTATCAAAAGTGCAGAGTGCAGTATCAGTACAACCGACCCCATGTACTGGTAAGTGTCGAGCCTAACCTCGATAAAGTAGTGACGAGGCTAAGGCAAGACACCTACAAATCAACATGTACAATTTAACAATGTATATACAAATAACAGAAATGAAGAACTAAACAGGAAATGTCGGGAGGGGAACATACTGAGGGGAATACAAGATAAAGAACTACAACAGAATGATCACCGCAACAGTCAATATATCATGAATCAACATGAATAGTGAATATAGTAAAGGAAAAATGCACGGCATTACCCTTCGTGCTTTTACTCTCAATCTCACCATTATATTAATAGAAACGACACGGCATCACCCTTCATACATTAACTCTCATATCATGGCACGACATCATCCTTCGTGCTTTTACTCTCAATCTCACCATAAAATTAATAGAAACGACACGACATCACTCTTCGTGCATTAACTCTCATATCATGGCACGACATCACCCTTCGTGCTTTTACACTCGCAATATGGTACGACATCACCCTTCGTGCATTAACACTCTCCCTTACGATAATGCAATGCATAAATAACAACAGGAAGATAGAATAACAAGTACAAACCTTACTTCAACATTTGGTTCCACAATATAAATCTCAACTTTTAAATAAATACTCGATTACCAACAGAAAATCCGTAAACATGATAATGATGATCAATTTAACAACACTAGTATAAACATGTAGCAATTAGGCATATGAAGAGACAATATAAGAAAACGGAAGAAACATGGAAAAACAGGTAAATTGGCGGCGCATAAGTACTCGTCACCTCACATATACGTCGCTCACCTGAATTTCACTTAGCAAATAATCTAAGGTTCCTAATTCCCTCAAGTCAGGGTTAGACACAACACTTACCTCGCTCCGAAGGCCACTTAATTCTCAATCACAACTTTTTCTTTGGAATTCACCTCCAAACCACTCGTACAAAAATGACTCAATAATATCAAATATTGCTAAAAGAATCAATTATATTGCATAAATTAAATTTTCCAAATTTTCCTCCAAAAAGTCGAAAAATCGACCCTGGGCCCGCTTGGTCAAAATCCGAGGTTCGGACCAAAATTCATTTACCCATTCATCCCCGAGCCCGAATATATAATTGGTTTTGGAATGCGACCTCAAATTGAGGTCTAAATCCCCAAATTTCCGAAATCCTTAGTTTCTATCCTAACCCCTAATTCTACCATGAAAACTCTAGATTTTAGCTTGATAATTCAAGAAATCTAATGGGTAATTGAAAGAAAATGGTTTAGAATTACTTACCAACACTTTGGGGAAGCAAATGACTCTTGAAAATCGCCTCTACCCGTTTGGTTCTTGAAAAATGTTGAAGAAATGGCTTAAACCCGTGTTTGATTCTGTTTTATGCACTGGGCGACAGTGTGCATCGCGTTCGCGAGGCCACTGTCGCGTTCGCGAAGGGTACTGGCTGCCAAGCCTTCGCGTTCGCGAGACCCAGCTCGCGTTCGTGATGGTTACTCCCCTCTGGCCTTCGCGTTCGCAAGACATTGCTCGCGTTCGCGATGAAGGAACGACCAACCCCCCAGGTCCCCAAATGCTTCGCGTTCGCATTGAGCCGGTCGCGTTCGCGAAGGGTAAATCCCCCATCACTTCGCGTTCGCGAAGAAGAAGTCTCAGCCTCATCAGTTTACCCTTCGCGTTCGCGAGAGAATCTTCGCGAATGCGAAGAAGGATATGCAGGCACCAGAATCTGCAAAAAACCAATTTTTTTCCCAGTCGAAAATATCCCGTGGCCTATTCGCAACTCACACGAGCCCTCGGGGCTCCAAACCAAACATGCACACAAGTCTAAAAACATCATACGGACCTGCTCGCGTGATCAAATTGCCAAAATAAAACCTAGAACTCCAAATTTAGCACCAAAACAAATAAAATTCTCAAGAACACTTTAAAATTTCTATTTTCTCAACTGGACGTCCGAATCATGTCGAATCAACTCTGTTTCTCACCAAATTTCACAGACAAGTCTTAAATATCATAATGAACCTGTACCGGACTCCGGAACCAAAATACGGACCCGGCACTAACAATACCAAACATCAATCAATTCTTGAAAACAATTAATTTTCAGACTTTCAATTTTCATCAAAAATTCATAACTCAAGCTAGGGACCTACGAATTCGATTTCGGGCATACGCTCAGGTCCCATAGTTCGATATGGACCCACCGGGACCGTCAAAATACGGATTCAGGCCCATTTACCAAAAATGTTGACCGAAGTCAACTAAAATCAACCTTTTAAGGCAACAATTCTTATTTTCATCAATTTTCAACATAAAAGTTACCGAAAACACGCCCGGACTGCGCACACAAATCGAGGAGGGTAAAAATGAGATTTTTAAGGCTTAAGAGTGCAGATTCGAGTTCTAGAACATAAGATGACCTTTTGGGTCATCACATTTTTACACATATTAAGAATTTTACTTTTTAGAATTAATTAACATTGAAATTGATCATATTAACCTTAATTTGTTTATTGAAAATATAACAAACACTCCTAAGCTCTTTATTCCAAGGGTAACTATGGAAAAAAGAAGTTAATTCTTTCTTGATATCTACAACAACAACAACAACAACAACCCAGTGTAATCCCACAAGTGGGGTCTGGGGAGGGTAA